TCCTGGGATAGAGAGGAGAAGTCCCACTGATGAGCACAGGGTGGTTTTCTTTCCTTTCCCCACAGCATCTGCAGGGTTTCTGCTCCTGCAAGAATGAGTGCAGGGTGCCCCTACCTCAGCAGCTCCGGAGGGAAACACAGCTCAGGAGGTTCCAGGGAAGCTCAGCTCGTGCAAAAAGCTGCAGGAGCAGAGCACAGAGCAGCAGAGGTGGCCTTCAGCTCCTGACCTTCCCCACCTGCATTCAGCTACGGGTGGAACTCAAAACCAGCGAAAGAAGAAGAGAATGAGCTCCCAAAGGGGAAATCAGGGTCAGGTCCTGTTCTCAACGCAGCTTCAATTCCCTTCTCCCATGTCCTGCGAGAACTGGAACGGTTCCCTCTCACCCCTCAGTATCAGTTCCCTGTACAGCACCGGGCATCGGGCAAATAAGTGCAGAAAATGGAAGAGCTCCGAGGGGATGCGGAGCAGAAACAGCTGAGCCACCGGCAGACGGGCAGAGAGCCGGTAGGCAATGCTCTCGTGTAGGAACGCACAGCTCAGCACCGCCTCGACCCACTTTCGTTTCTCGTGGCCCCGCTCCGCCCGCTTCTCCCGGCTCGGTGAGGCCGCAGCGCGTTCTCCGTGGCCGGGAGCCCCCGCAGCGCTCACCGCCCCGCACCGCAGCGCTGCGCCGAAACCGCCGTGCGGTGACAACCGCGGAGCAGCACGGAGGGACGCGGCCGCTTTCGGGAGCGGCAGAACGGAGCCGCGTGTCCCGAACGCCCGCCCCGCAGCCCCCCCAACGGGCACGGCGCTTCCCCCCGCCCCGCCCGGCCCCGCTCACTCGGCGTAGCCCGTGCTCCAGGGCAGGCGGCGGCGGCCGTCGCGGGGGCTTTGCACCGCCCGCCCCGTGTGGTCGTCGGCACGGCGCAGTTCCTCGGGCGTCAGCTGCAGGAAGGCCGGCCGGCAGAACGCCGCCGCCCGCGACCCCTCCTCGCCCCCGGTCCCGCTACCGCCGCCACCGCCGTGCCGGGGCTCGGCCGGGGGTTGCGCGCCCGGCCCGGGGCCCAGCCCCGCCACCAGGTGCGAGACCGCCGAACGCACCCGCAGCAGCATGCCGGGCCGAGCCGGGCCGAGCCGCGCCGAACCCCGCCCCCGGCCCCGCCCCGGGGCCGCCCCCCCGGGTGAGACGCGCACCGGGACAGAAAGCGGCGGCGGTCCTCGAGTGCGGGATGGGACCGCTCCGGTGATGGAACTCTGAGCCTCTCGGCTGTGAGGGATGGCAGCCGAGGTCCTGGCAGCGGTCATCTGAAGCTCAGTCGGCCCTGATCCTCTCCGGCTGCGGGATGCTCCCCAGCTCCCGCAAAGCCTCCTGCTCCGACCCAGCATCCGCCGCCCGTGGCAGTGCTTCGTCACGCTCAGCGGTGAGACCCAGCCCCCGCGGTCACGCCGAGCTATTAATAAGCAGCCGTGCTGCAGAGGAACGAGGAGCTGACGGGACTGGGAGGAGAACCTCCTCCTTCCTCCGGAGCTGCGGCAGCGCTGCTCGGGATGCAGATTCAGCCGGCCCAGGGCGATGCGCCGCTGCTGGCTGGGAGAGCTGACAGTTCGGAGAGAACAGCTCACAGGGCCTGAGCTCAGCACCTCCTGCCTCTGGATTCCTATGGCAACAAAAATTCTGCTGAAAAAATACAGTATTTGTCTGTGTAAAGTAGAACTGAGTCCATCTGCTGGGATCTCCGTGTCCCGGTGCACTCTGCTCCCCAGGGAGCTGCTTTCATCCTTCCCGCACAGATCTGTACGTCAGGCAGAAGCACAACCCTCATTCCTTGCCCTGCACAGCTCCGAGTGCATTCATCACGTCCTTGGCTAAACCTTGTCCCCTAAGCAGACTATTGAGGCCATCCTATGGATATTGTATTACTCTCTTTTTCTCCCGAGTTGCAAACCGCTCAGCAGCGCGTCTCGGTGAGATCTGAACGCACGCACCCCTTCCAGGCTGTTTTTTGGAGCTGCCTTCACGTCCCTGCCGGCCGCTGCTGCCTCCTCCTGCCCTCTGCCCGCCGCTGCCCGGCTCCAATTCCTTCGTTCCCCGCTTAGAGCTCATCTCGATCTTCTCAGCGAGGCGGAGCGGGCACCAGAGGGCGGCACAGACTGCGCGCAGCGCTGGGAAACGCGGCCCCTTTCCTCCCCTCGCCCCCCTCCCCGACCCCACCCCACCAGCGCAGTTTCCTCCGGGGGTCCTTAGGGGCATCCCTCACTGCCCAGCACGGCTGAGTCACCAGGGTGCTTTCCTTGGAAAGAGGGAAATTGCAGCGTCCGGAGTGACTTCTGTGCAAATCCGACCTCGTTTTGTGCTCTTCGTGTTTCCGTTCTGCTACGCGCCGCGCAGAAAGAATAGCCTGACATAAAAACACGCAGCAAAACGTTCCCCGAAACAATGCAATGCTAATAGCCGTTTTCCAAGAAAGAGAGCGACATTTCCTCCCATTCATCCTCCCTGCAAGCTCAATGCAAGCTTCCTCCCTGCGTGCTGTCCCTGTGCTCCTTTCCTGGCACTGCTGGTGCGTGTGCCGGGCATGCCGCTGAGTGACGCAGGGAAGCCCAGCTGTGTCCCCTGAGTCCACTCTGGACGTCACCTACTCCGTCCTCATGTTTCCTTCCCACCCTTCGGGTTCCTGCCGGGGCTGCCATGCCTGGGTGCTGCACTGTTTGCTCACCCTGCATGGAACCAGTTTGGGTGTCCCTTTGGTAGCGCTGTCTGTGTAATCCCTGCCATGATCCCAGCTCCCTTCTCCCTGTTCTGGAGGTCTCTCCAACCCCCAGCTGTAATGAACTCCTTTCAGCACAACAAAATTGCTGCTGCTCCCCCCAAGAGGGTGATTGCTTAGGGCACAGCAGGGAAATTGCCATGAGCTGTAATGCACTTTCTGCTAAGAAAATGTGAAAGAACATGTTGGTGGCATTTAAGCCAGTATGTAAGCAAATTAAACATCTAGATCATAAAAGTACTGAAGGATGTTTTAAAATAAGCCCTTTGCAGCAGTGCATTAGTTGGCTGCACGGCTTTACTGTGTAATGAGCAATATATTAATTTATAATTAGTGTAATACAGTGAAGCCCCACAAATAGCTCTGTGCGCTCCGGATAATTCATCAACAGAAGAAGCAGCTCTTAATGGTTTCCAAGGTTTGCCTGTCCGCTGTAATTGGGAAGTTCAGAATTTACTGTTATTTCTTTTAAAGGGTGATTTGATTGCAGCCACACATCTTCGTTGTGTCTCTGCTCTGCTGTTATGCAGGGAGATGCACCCAGAGCTCAGCTGTGACTCTGCCCACACCTTGACAGTGTGCAGTGCTGTGGGCTGTCCCCATCTCCTCTGCTGTGGGTGAATGGAGGTCTGCTGCTGGGTTCTGCTGCTACAAACCCATCTCCCCTCCTCACATTGCCCAGGGGACCTTCACGTGAACACAGCCCTCCAGCTGAAGGGGAAATGATTTTTTCCATGTAATGTCTGCAAGGTTTTCTTGTGCAGTTCCTTTCCTTGCCTTCTTGTTACGGGCACTCAGCTTTGTTCCTCCCCTTCTCTTCCTCTACAGCAATGTAAGGGACTCCTGGAAGAGTCAGAGCCAAGAATGAGGACAATGCAGAGAGTCTACTGAATATACCGAGGAGTGGAGAGAAAGGAAATTATTGCTCTCTTCACCGGAATTCCAATGAAATCGGTTCTGCTGAAGTGTTAATTCTCCCCTTGCATTGAAATGCTGTGATCTGGAAAGCAGCGAGTTTGTATTTCTATGCCATTGCATCAATAAAGAGCTTGATTTTGTAGGCTTCCTTATTGAATAATCTGGCCTAATTTAATTGGAGTTTGGCTGATGTGAAAGGTGGTTTTGATTGCATTTGTGCTTGATGATTTCCATTAAAATTTTGCGATCTGGAAAGTAATATGTTTGTATTTACTTATCACAGCAATTTGTGGACTCTGACAAACTGTCTAATGAATACAAAGAGCAGACTTAATTTCATGTTGTATTAATGTTTTTCCCATTAATTTCCCCATTACTCTCTGATCTGAGGAGTACGATGCTCGTATTTTCCTTAATATCTTATTACTGGAGTTTGGGTTAATCTTGTAGAGCTTTTTTTCCCTTTTCTTTTGAGCAGCCACATCTAACAATTTAACGTGGTGTTGTGATTTTTCCCATTCAAAAAGGGGACAAGAAAGTTCGGTTTAGTGAAATAGCAGAGGGAATCTATTCTTATGAAGGGTTTAAGGCCGGGAGTCATCCCCTGGTTTCAGGGTTCCTCTCGGCCCAGGGAAGAGGCCCGGATCCCCACTGCCCCTGGAGCTGATGGGACGCAGTGGGGCTGGGCAGTGCCTCTGTGTTGGGCTGTCACTGATCTGAACTGGAGATGCTATAAATCAAACCGAGATTATAGAAGGATGCGCCTGAGCTCGTGCTGTGGGTCCATGCAGAAGAAAGAAACGCTCCCCGGTGAGGATGCCGTCCTGCAGCCTTTCCTAGGAAAAAAAAAAAGCTTGCGGTGTTGGACCAGGTGCGGTGCTGCGGAGGCACTGAGGGGCTGCGATTTTGTTCCGAGCGGCTGCACAGCGCAGCCCAGCGCTCTGTAGGGCAATCCCGGGGCCGTCCCACGGGTTTGGCTTCGTTCTTTTTTTGGGGGGGGAGGGAGGGGGATATGTTGGGGAGAACAATTCGCTCTCCGACTGACCACTCCTAACAGCCCCGGTGATGAGCAGCGGGGATAACCGGGACGGGGCCGCGCCGTTCCCGCAGAGCCGCGCGGGGCCATCGGGGCGCGGAGCCGGGGCTGAGCCCGGGGGGCGACCGGGAGCGCTCCGCCGGTACCGGGGAGGCGGCGGCAGGCGGCGCTGCGCCCCTTCGCGCCGGCGCGGGCACCGGGGCCGCCCGGCTCCGCGCCCCGCCGCCCCCGCCGCCGCCCAGCCCCGCCGAGCGGAGCGGACCGAGCCCAGCGCTGCCGGCGCCGCCGCCCGGCGATGCCAGCCGGCCCACGGCCGCAGGGGGCCGCGGAGCAGGCGCTGACCCTGCGGAGCGCACGGACGGCGGCCATGGGCAGCGGCGGCCCCGGCCCGCACGGACGGCACCGGCAGGTACCTGCGGTCCGGCCCGGCCGGCTGCGAAGTTGGGGCGGGACGGGAGCGGACCTCGGGCCGGAGCCGAGCGCGGCGGAGTTGCGGTGCCGTCGGGGTCGGGGCCGTCGCGGGGGCCGGTGGCGGAGCCTCTGTGCCCGGCTTGTCCGTGCGGGGAGCGCTGCGGGGGAACCGGGGCGCTCCGGCGGGGCGCGAGAAGCACCTCCTTTGCGGGCAGCGGGTCTCGGTCCGCGGTGTCCCGGGTCGGTGCCGGTCCCAACGGGGCCCGGTGCGCAGCGCGCAGGGTGATGCGCTGCCATCCGCTCGAGCCAAGCGGCTCCGAAGGCAGTGGCAGTGTCCTGCTGCTGTTAGTCACTTCCCGTCCGTGCGGTGCGGGGCTTGGGGCCGCCGGGGCTGGGAGAGCCCGTGGGAACGCAGAGTGCCCGTGCTCTGCGAGATGCTATCTGCACTAGGGGACCCACGATCCTATAAAGAGCCCACGCGGGGGAATGTGGCACCTCCTGGGGGACCTCGAGCTGCCCCCCCACTGTTGCCGAGGCTCCCTTGGCTGCTGCTGAACGTGGTTGGGTCTCACACCCCTGGTGTGTGGCTGTGCTCCTGGCACATGGGGAGGGTGAGGTCAATGCTGACCTTCAGGATGCCAGCAGCAGCAGGAAGGTGGGATTCACCGAGGTGAGGGGGCAGCAATCAGGGCCGTGCTCAGGCTGAATTCAAGTTAAAAACTCTCCTGCTCAGTTGAGCTGGGAAGAGAACGCTGCAGACACAGAAGGAGTGAGGAAGGAGCTGAAAACCAACCAGCACAGAGGAGAGAGCACTTGTATGGGAAGCAGCACTCTGTGTTCCTGTGCCCCCTGCCAGGTTGCCGAGCTCATGCCTCGTGCTGCCCTCCGTGCTGGGGTTGTGGGATGTTGTGAGCTGCAGTGCTGCAAGTGCACTCAGAGCTGGAGCTAAACTGCAGGGTATGAGAGGGCTCAGCTCAGCTCAGAGCTCTGCTGTTTGGCTCTGGAGAGCAGTGGTGCAGCTCAGGGGCCACATGCAGGGTGGGAGTTGCTGCACAGAGCTCCTGATGGTGTGCACAGGAGCTCCCTGTGTGCATCCCTAGCTCTGCAGCTGCAGCCTCATAGCTATGACTCCCCACCCTCGCCTTTAATTAAGTGTCATTAGTGCTGTTCAGGGAGCTGGGGTGTAGCCAGGTGCTGGCCAGCATTAACCCAAAATTGTGCATACAAAGAGTGCTGTCGTTGTGCTGTGTGCTGAGATGCCTGACTCGGTGCTTCAGGGAAGCTTTAAAATCAAATTGCCCCTCCAATAGGCAGTGTAACATCTGCAGTGATCACAGAGAGGTTTCTGTGCCTCCTGGGCTCTCCTGGGGTCTCCTCCCTACTCTGGGGCTGGGCATGGGGCTGCCCACCACTGCAGAGCCCTGGGGAACCAGAGCACTCTCTTCTTACATCCAGCAAAAACGGCACAGTTCCAGGCTGTGCTGAAATAGCAGGAGTGCTAAAATAGCTTTCAAACAAATGGCACATCTCTTGGGCCAGGTGTGCACAAAGGTTGGTGATGCTGGAGCTGCATTGGAGCGTTCATTAGCACAGACAGCTGGTTCACATCCAGCCTCCCCTGTCTCTTTGTTTCTTTTTCTGGGTAGAATTTTGCTGGCTGTAATTATTCAGCTCATGAGGACCTTTGCAAGGAGCACTCCTAACTTCCAGAGCTCGGCACATCATTTGGCACAACTCATTAGCACTGTAAGCACTGGGCTGTGCTCTAGCACCGGAGCATCCCTGGCTGCAGGTCCACCTCTGCAAGTGCAGGAGGAACCTCCAGGTTCACATCTGGGACTTCTTACCCTCTGCATCAGTGCTGAGGTCCCCGAGGCTGCATGTGAGGGATTGCTGCAAAGTCCACCTGCGCTTTGTCCTGCACATCTCCATGCTGGGGTTAACAAATGTGCTAAAAAATTAAAATCGTTGTGCAAAGGGCTGGGAGAGCAGCAACGTGGTGTGCAGGAGAGCCACGCTCACTTCTGGCACCATGGCTGTGCCTGAGAGCTGCCTGCAAAGAGGGTCGGGCCCTGCAGGTCCTGGGTGGGCAGAAAGCAGCTTACAGAACTTTAACAGAAAATATAACCAAGTTCGAAACAGAACAGAACAGAAAACACCGATATTTTCCATCAAAATGAAGTGCTTTGATGTGCCGTCACATCACTCTTCATTTCACGATGACATCCCAGGCTGAGAAACTTTGTCAGACTGAACATCTGCAGTTGGTGTCTCACGGTGTTGGAGGCTGGCAACTGTCAAAATAGCAATTTCTGCAAAGCTGTGTTTTTCTATCCTTAGGGGACTTTGTGTGTGAGCATCGTGCACATCTCCCAGCCTGTGCAGTCCCCTTGCAGAGCGGTTCCAGGCACAGGGCTGGGCTGTGGGCATGGGAACTGCAGGGACAGACCAGCACTGGGACCGTATCACCTGCACATCCACTCTGTCCCACTGCATGCATCGCTGTCTTGCCGTACTCATAAGGAATATTTTTGTGCCTCTGAATTGTTTTCTAGCATAAACCACGTTTGTGTCGAGATCACTTTCCTCTGGGAGAATATCAACATTTTTGGTGACATTTTCTGTTGTTTTTTTTTCCCCCCAGCTCAGAAAATCAAAACGGAAAGTATCACTTTACATCAACATTTTGGAACGCAACGCTTTCTGTTCTGAAATGTCAATTTAAAACAGCCCGATTCATTTCGGAATGTTTCAGAACAAGTAGTGCCCTTTACCACCTCACATCACCTTGTTTTTGTTAAAAATGTCAGTGTTTTCTGTGCTGGCACATCGTGAGATGAGCACCTTTCACTGCCCCAGCCTGGCCCAGAGCAGGATCCTCATTTAGAGGACTGTTGGACATTGGAGCTCTCTCCTCCCAGCACTGTGCTGGGCAGCACTGTGGGGTGCAGGTGAGAGCGCTGGTGTTGTTCCTGCTCATCCCTGACCTCCATCAGTAACTTATGGGCTGGTACTGAGGCGTTATGTGGATGTGCTCACCAGACCCCAGTGGCACGGGGATGGCCTCACCCCTGAGGAGGTGATGGGAGCACATAACTGCACATGGAAACACCTGGGAATGGATTGCTCGTGCTTTGCTCTGCCGGCAGCGTGCCCATGGGGCTGTCTGTGTCTCCCCTTTCAGATGCTCTGATGTCTGCTGTCTGTGAAGCTCCCAACACCTGTGCTTGGCGGATGCACGGCTGTTAGCGGGAAGCCCCGGTAAGAGGTAAACTGTGCTCCTCTTTGCTGCTGTGGTTTCTTGCTGTCCTGCTGCAGATGAAGCCCAGGGGAGGCGGGTGCATCCCCACCGTGTCCCCACCGCCCTGGGGGAAGGCTTGACCCCATGGCTGCATGCTTGGGACACCCCCAGCCCCTCTCTATCTGTGCTTCTCTCTTCTCGTTGTTGGCAGAATGAGTGAAAGGGACGTACAGAGCTTGAGCAGATGGGTTTTAGTGCTCACTCTCTGCCTTACCACACTATGGGGAAGACTGACGCTGGCCTCCACCCACCACAGAAGCCATTCAGGTAGGGAAGCGATGCTTCATGTCCCTGTGCCACCAGGGGCTCATGGCATGGTGTGACCTGGATGCACTCTGTGCCTCGGGGCTGTCTCTAGGACAGCAGGCAGCCAAGGGTTAATCTGAAAATACAGTGCAACAGCCTGACCCTACACCTAACCCCGTCCTATTTCTGTCGTTTTTCCCTGACTGTTAAAGCACTTCTAATCCTATAATCCCCATCCTCATTGCTTAAAACTGAAGCGTATCTTCCCCAGGGGCTCTATCAGCCAGCTAGTCAGGGCTACCTGCTTCCCCTTCCAACCTGGAGGGTGCAGGGGAAGGCACTCCTCCTCCACCACCTCAAGGATGGCCTCCTGGCCCTGGCTGCTGGGATCTGGTCTGGCTCCAAGCAAAGCCAAAATCACTGCCCTGAAGCATGGCCAGACCCTGAGGTGACACAGCTGTGACTCGGTGAGTTGTGGAAGGTGCCCCATGCAGGTGTGTGGGGTTGGGAGTTATGCATAACTCTCACTCTGTATGCAAGAAGCACTGCTATGTTCCTACGCTCACAGGCAGAGCTGGGGGTTCTCACTTGCAAGGATTTACCCACAGAGGACCAGAGCTGTGCTTCTTATTCAGGCAAATGCTGATCCACTGCAAAGAGGGAATAATGGGAGCACAAGTTGAGAAGTCCAACCCTGCTCTGTGTCTCTGTGTTGTCGAGGTTTCTTGCAGCACATCCTTTATGGTTGCTGTAGGAATTTTGCTGCTTGCACTGTTTCTTGCTTTCCCGGTTTTGTGGTGGTTCGTAGCATTCATTTTCCACTTGTCTGCCCCGTGCTTTTGCTTCATTTAGGGCATCTTTTAGTAAAGGTTATGCTGGGAATGCCCTTTTATAAGGTTGTGTTCTCAGTGGCGATGACATTTTCCCCTGGAAAGCCTGCAGTTATGCTGCTGCACACCGAGCTGAGCGGGAGGTGTGGGCTGGGATTGCTGCACCTCTGCTGCTGACAGATGGCTTATACACAGAGGGACAGACACATGCAGTGCTTTTGCCTGTGCACGGCACTGCATTTAGTCACCTACCAATGAAAAACTGCAGGAGGAAGGATGCAATTGTGACAACACAGCCACAGGATTTCACAGCCTGCAAACTCAGGAATTTCTTGAAAGGAAGGAACGTGCAAATCCTCTGTTGGCCTTCCAGGAACACAATGCATTTGAACATCTGGCTTTGGAGTAAAGTCTAATTGCTCATGTTCACTTCGCACCTGGAGAACGCTGATGGCAAAGCAGAGCAGTGCATCCTGGTGCGTGCAATTGAATTTAAGCAGCCACATGGACCCTGTGCAGAGATGGAGTCGTCCGTGGATGGAGAAGGAGACTCCTCAGTGCAGAATGACCCACTGTGTGAGCACCAGCTCTGGGTGGAGCCCCAGAACCTTCTGATAAATGTGAGAGCCACAGTGCCATCTCTGCCATCACCCACAGCTCAGCTGAGTGGGCACAGGAGGAAGAGCTGGCCAGCTGAGTGGGACACGCTGCCAGCAGTGGGGGTTTCCACAGCAGCACCTTATCAGCAGTTCTCAATGCAATCCCTGGATTTGTTTTCCTTCTCGTGAGCATCAGGTGCTGGGAGCTGGGTGAGCAGTTGTGTGGACGTGCTGCAGAGGGGAACGGGATGAGCTGAGCTCTGATATGACAAGCTACTAAAAAGCTCCAGCCGGCGCACGGTGATAACGAGCAATAAAAACAGAAGCACTTCTCTCCAAACCCCTTTTAAATAATGCATGCACCTGAGGCAGTAGTGATTTTAAGACGTGAATTATTTAAGCCATGGCTGTTGTTGGGTGGGCAGCGTGGTCCCCCCGTTCTCCTGCCCTGCTTGGTGCTGCAGGGGTTGGCATTGCCCTGTGGTTACACTGCACTTCAGTGCACGGAGATCTTAGACTGAGCACGCAGGGCATTGCCTGCCCCTCCTCAAGATGAAGCTGTCATTTCAGGTTGTGCCATCAGCAGCCCCGTTCTGCCACTCGCTTAAAGGTCAGCCAGAGTAGGATGGTATTTTTGTTTTATTTTTTTACCCATGGGATTCAAAAGCCTCGTGCTTTCACGGTGCCTTTATGGTTCCGTCAGATAAGAGTTTCTTAAAAGGGCTCTGCTGGAGGCAGCTGTGTGCCAGCAGTGCTGGAGCTGCCCCAGGCTTGCAGGGTTTGCTGTGCTCACTTTCTGCTCTCCTCCATGGGCTGCTCACTGCAGCTGGGGCTCTGTGTGCCCCCCAGGTGCCCTCTTACAGCCAACCAAACCCCGGGATCCTTGCTTGTCCTGTGAAAATCCCATAAAAGCAAAGCGAGTCGTGGTCACGTTTGTCCTGTAATGATGCTTTCCTTTTCTCTTTCACCAAAGTGTTTAATTTCTGCATACAGAAACAGTGGAGATTGTCATTAAAACTGAATTATGATGGCGTTTAAAAGGAAGGATTAAATTTATGGCCAGAGATGCTATTACAAAATACTTCCAGGATAGGTAATTGTGTAATTATTATGGGCAGAAATGAAAGCGATGGTTCATTAAAAGAAAATGACCATGAAATAACAATAAATAACAGCAAGTAATGGCACAGGCTGCCTTTCCCATGCACGGATCTGTGTGCACATTGCAGGAACGCAGCTCCCTTCTTCCCCTCTCTGCCCAGCAGCTGCATGACTACAGCCCATACCCAGCGAGGCAGTGATGCCAGCACACAGCTCCGTGCCCGTTCCTCTGGTGCTCATTAAAGGGGACCTGCAGGGATCAGTGGTGCTCAGGTCATGGGAATCAAGTCTATCCAGCCCTGTTTGGCTAATTTGTATTGTGCCTGCGTGGGCCGTTACCCAGCGAAATGCATTGATTTGCGATGCTAACCAGCTTCTGAACCCAGATCCCAGCGGTGATAAGCCAGCACATCAGTTTTCTTTCTGCCTTAATATTTTAATGGCACTGGGAGAGGGAGCAGCAGAGCAGCCAGGGCTCCTGTTGCTCCCTATGATGTTTCTGCAGGCTGGGAGCACTCTCCTAGCTCTCCAACCTCCATCCTGAGGATGGGGCAGTGGAAGCACTGCATTGCACTGCAGTGCTGAGGGCCGGGATGGTGCTGCTGTGGTGGGACTGAAGGCAGAGCGATGCAACATCCCCTCCTGCAGCAAAGCACACCTCTCACTATCAGCTCTGGTTAGCCATTGTGCTCATTTGTTTCTGCAAGGCTCTTGGCTTTGCTGTGGCAAAAGCTGTTCATTGTGCTCAGTGATGGATGTGAGAGCTTTCAGGGCTGGATGCTGGGGGGTCTGGAGCAGGACCAGTGCTTCCCATCAGCAGAGGGGTGGCCAGCAGGGACAGGGAGGTGATTGTTCCTCTCTGCTCTGCTCTTGGGAGGCCCCATCTGCAGCACTGTGTCCAGGTCTGGAGCCCCCAGGACAAGAAGGACAGAGAGCTGTTGGAGAGGGTCCAGAGGAGCCACAGAGATGATCAGGGGGCTGCAGCACCTCCCTACAAA